CTTAATTCAAATTTACATACACCACTTCCGTTTGGTGTTCCAACAAAAGCATTAGCCCCCTCCCTCTCCCATGCAAATAACCTCTACATTGGGTTTATTGTCCAGGCTGCTACTGGTGGGGCTTTCCATGCCAGCCAGCTTGGACTAAAGGTCCAAAATCTGCTGAGAGTCAAATGTAGATGTGAGAAATTAAACCAGTAGCTACAGCTGCAACAGTACAACATTCAACATTGGGGGCTGGGACCACTCCAAAGTGTTCCAAGATAATTGTGAGAGGTCACAAGATGATTTTTTTCTGATCTGGATAGTGTTCAGCTAGATTTCTAGTTGGGCGTGAAAGGGTTACAGCATAGGTATTGAGCTTAAGCAGGTAGCCACCAAAGCTATGCCGTAACCAACAAATGCCTCCTCAAAAATGGAACTACACATCAGAGCATTGGTAGATATGGAGTTGCCCCATGGTTGCACCAACTGATTACACCTGTGTTAGCAAACAAAACAGAGATCAATATTTGTAGGTAAATGTTACTATTCTTCAGTAATAGTTATTTTACCGGCATACCAATAATATGTTACAGCTGCTAGTGGTGTTGTAACAAATGTGATTTGTGCTTTTCAAACACACACATACTGTCCCCAAATCAGTCATTAACAAATGCACAGATCTTGGCATCCAGTCCCCAGTAGCCTTCAGTGGGACGTGCAGAGGGGGGTTGTTGCTGAATCAATAGCCATAAGGAGTCTGGTTCCCGTTTGCTTTCAAGATCTACAGCCAAAGGACCCAGTCATCAAAAGTTAATGAGCTATTTAGATCATGCTGTTTCCCCTGCTCTCTACTGAGAAAACACTGGTGGACTGTCTATGGAAAAAAGAGCTCCAGCGCGAGTGTGTATGTGTGTGTGTTTTATGTGTCTCCTATAGGTCTGCAGTGGGAGAGATTGGCAGCTGCGAAAGAACAAAGCAGTGAAAATGGTTATCGTGCATGTGCAGTTGTTCTTGCATTGTTTGGTGCAGATGCTTGACATGGGTTGCAACCCTTTTTCTGGCCAGTAATGTGAAAACAAAGACTCTTTCTGCCTCCACCACCCCACTGTAACGCTGTGGTTGGGATGCTCAGGCATTGCAGCAGCCTCGGCTCTAGTCCCCAGTGCAGTCACATGAAAACAATATATCGCTAAACATCAGCTTTTCAGAATTTCTTTAAATAATCCTCTATGTTTTCGACATGACAAGAGTGTACAATCATCATACTATCTAATATTCTATTTTATTTTATTTTTTTACCTTTCTCTGTCTTGTTTTTAAGTTACAGTGTAGTGATGCAAATCTCTTTCTAATCAAGTTATTTTTTCTGTGTTTGAGTCTAAAAAAATATATTTCAAAGGGTTTCCAATAAATTGTGTTTTATATTTATTATTTATTATTTTTCCTTGTCAAGGTAGACATTTATAACATTGAACCATGATTTGAATCCAAGTAGTAATGATGCAATGTTCATCAGGCTGATTATTGCTGCTCTCACCCCTGGTTTGTTTCTACCATCATTCTTCCTTCTTCCTTCCTGTCCCCCAGTTCCTTTATATCTTCGTCCGCCTGGACTCTGCTAACGATGCCAGCAGCAGACCAGCCGACATGTCACCCAGGACTCCTGCCAGGGACTCTCGCTGGCTGTTTCCCAGGCCACTGGCCTTGTTACAGAGATGGCACATAAATGTGGCAGAGGAGGAAGTTATGGCTGTCCACATTCCCTACAGGGCAGTGGGAGGAAACTTCTTGTTGCTAAGGCCACAGATTGTGTGTATGTGCAGCAAGAAAGACATGATCATATATATATATATATATATCTCAAAGCGGCCAGCAATTCCTTGCCCACATGTAATGCAAGTTCAACATCACCGCTGTGGGAGTAAGGTGTATTGTATAGGAAACTTTTCTGCCAGTATTACTAAAATATTTTGATCACCTTGCCAGTCAAGCAGCTTTGAAAAAAAAAGATTCAGTCACTGAGGTGAGCCAAGCAGAGCATTGATTTTCAGGATGTACCCAGTGGAGGAGGTTTTATCTGTTGTGTTCTCCACAAATGCACATTAACCTCCAGCTCTCTTTGAAATACTCCTAAACCCCAGAGGACTCAAACCTCACCGGTGACGATTAATTGGTCAACCTTAATGTCATCCTGCCGCTGCCAGTCGGCCCAGCCGGTTCTCTATTTGTCTCCTTCCACCTGTCGGTCAGCTTTGATGCCTTCCCGTCTCCAGCAAGTTTCCCACAACCAACCAAATCCTGCAGCTTGAGAATCAGACGCCAGGGGTTCAGAGAGAAGAAGAGATGGGGGATGAACTTCGGCTTACTTCTGGGCTTGGCAACTCTTCAACATAAAACCTCTAAGAGAAGGAACTGATCAATGATCACTGGCTGAAGGACATTGCCTCTTTGTTGTCAGACCAAAACTACACATTTGCAAACAAATAGATCTTTTCTTTTAAATCTTTTTAGTGCCATTCATTTCAAATCATGCTTTTGTGGCACAGCTATAAGATTACCCTAATTATTATATGTCTCTCTTACAAATCCTCTTGACAGAAAATGTCAAGAGTCATCTGTCATGAAACTCATGTCTCATGTTAGATGATCTCTAGCCCAAAAATACTTATTTATATTACTCAATATTTTGAGCTTGAAAGGAAAACATGTGACATGAGAAAAAAAATGAGCAAATGCTTTTCACTAGAGAAGTTACTCAAATGAAAGCTTTGGAAATACAACCGGTGAATCCAATGTAAGGCTAGCTTCCTTTTAGATGATAAACTGTAATTATAAATGCCAGTAGGCTGTTTGCGACGTTAAAAGGTGTGCTGTGGAGTTTTTCTTGCAAACTAAGTTCCTAGAACATTCAATGTTTCTCACCAAAACACACGTGCGTCTTAGCGTGTTAATGTCAAACCTGCACAGGTGTTTTCATTTCGGCTGATTAAGCCTCAGCTTAGGTTGAGGTTGGACCGAGTGTTGCAGGAAATTCACCAGGTAGACGTCCCCGTTAGATATATCAAACAATTTTTCCAGGAGAAATCTTGATCGTGAATAAGTACAACTATAGTAGGAAATGCCGCACAAGCATAGTCAGTCTGGCCAAACCCACGCTGTGCAGAGGTCTAACGACAGACCTAATCAGCCAAAATACTTTACATGTGAGTGAAACATGGCTGCGATTGGGCTTGGGTAACGCAGAAAGAACTACAATAAATGCTAATTAGCAGTTAAAGTTACATCTACTGTCACCTACTTCCTTTCCGGAATGGAGCTCAGGCCCACTAGGGATGTTCATCGGTCACTGCTGAGCGCTCTCCACAGGACTGGAGCAACACAGCTGCTGAATTATTGAACACAGCAGCATCCCTAAGGTGAGACGCTGCATGGAAGTCTTCAGTCTCCCGCCCTGACAAAGAGAGAAGAAGGCTTGATGAAACATGGTGGGATGCTTACAAGCCATCCGTCATGGTACCTCACCGGTCACACAGAGGCGGGATTGGATTTCCGGCCAGGAGGATTTGTCGTGTCAGGCGGGGGGGGAGTGGAGATTGAGCAATGCTTCAGTGAGATGGTGTGATAAGAGTGGCCATGATTGTTTCCAGAGTTTTGTAAATCTTCATGAATTCAATATTTTTTTTCAAGAAAATCTAAAGCATGTGTCAGTTTCTCACTCATATCTGGGGTATGCGTATGAGCATATATGTGGTAGACTAGCATTTGTATGCAATATGTATATAATCATGTCAGCCTGTCTCTTTCTGTGTGTCAGTGTGTGTATTATTACATGCATACATGAGAGTAAGTTATGTGTCTGAGCCCGTGAGTCTTATGCCTGACCCAGCGCACCACTAGTAATACCATCAGAGCTCTCCCACTGAGCACCTGTTTTATTACATTACATACACCTGATCCTCAAGCTGCATATGAAACCTGATAACAAGCCACGGTCTTTGATTTACCTGCCAAAGAGACCAGCTTTGGGCTCATGTTGTTGGTTGGCTCCACTGAAATCAATTTCTAAATCTGTAGTCTAATAGGGCTGGTGAGCTAGCAGTATTACATCAGATACCGTTGTGGAGGATGAATTCTTACAGCCTACAGCCTAGGTTAAAACAGCACATTAAAGGTCCAGTGTGTAAAATTCCATTGACAGAAATGCAATGTAAGATCCATAACTATGTTTTAAGTGGTTTAGACCTTACATACTGAACCGTTATGTTTTTATTACCTTAGAATGAGTCATTTCTACATACACCGCGGGTCCCCCTTACAGGGATGTCGTAATGTTACGCCGCAATGTTTCTACAGTGGCTAAAAACGGACAAACTGCTCTGCAGAGTGCGTTGAATACATGCAATGTAAACCCGAACAAGTTCAAAATACTCAAAATATTTGTAATTTGTAATTCTAATAATAATATTTTTGAGTATACTTAAATATAATACTTTCATTTTATACTAAATAACATTGATTCACTGATGCTTATTAAAATTGAATTCCACTGACTAATTCCTTACTCAATAATTGTAATTGTGCACAACTTATACTCTGAGGGAAATCTACTCAACAAAATTACTACTAGTCAGCTTAAAATTTACAAAATGCAATATTAAACAATCAGTATCAAACTCCAAACATCTCCTGTCATATCTACATTTCAGAGAAACAAAATATGTTACACTGAAACTTGTTTTCATCAGACGGGGAAAAAAAATTGTCTTTCTGGTAATGCACGTATTGCATAAAGCTCAACAGACTATTTAAGTAATTGATAGCTTGATCAGATAATAAACCACCAACAATCGATTTGTTTTCATTCTTTTATGCAATAATGTTGAACATTCCCTATTTACAGATACTTAATGAGATCTTTTGGTGTTAAGTGACAAACGAAAGTTTGTTTAGCTCAAAGGACTTTGCTGATTCAGCAAAGTCCTTTGAGCTAAACAAACTTTCGTTTTACTACCTGCAGTGTGTTATGTGGAAAAAGCAACAATGCATAATTTTATTCGAACAGCAGCACTTTTACTTAAATAATATTTAAGGGAGCTCTAAATACAGAGTAAGAAAAAAAGAAAAGAAATTCTACTTTTGGGGAATCAAAAGCAAATAAAGATAGCTAATGACATTTGTTTAAAATAAGAAGTCCCACACAATGCAAATTGTTAAGTGAGGGAGACGAGGTAATGGAACAATATAAAAAAAGAACACTGAGCAAAAACCTTTGTTTTGAATATCCCCCGGTGTAAGCTTGCAGTAAACATACTGAGCATATAGTTCAGAAGTGTTTTCAGGAGTTTGTAACAAATCCATCTACAGCCACCTTTCACTTGGGTTGAAGCGGACTGCACCAGGAGCATCAGTGTCAGTGATCACAGTGAGGAGTGTCAGCAATGTCTGGTTCATCTTTACCCTGCAAAATACAAACAATCCAATTATGAGGATAATTATAAAGCACTGTGTGCTCATCTGTGCCCCCTGCACAATTAAAAGCAATTTTTTTTACAATACTCACATGACAAAATGTTAAGAGTTACTGGTGGCTGTTATGATTCCTTCTGTCTGTACTGACGCTTTCTTAATCTGACTCAACTGTAAGAGAATGAGAACAAAAATCTAAAGTTCATTAGGAACAGTTATGAGACTTCAGCAGTCTGACTTAAACAAGCCACAAAACATATCCTAAGTATTTTTAGAAGTTAGTTTTTTGTGTGTTTACTTGCTGAGCTGCAGCAGTGGGATACTTCCTTCCAACAGTAAACCTACACAATGACCTAACAACAATATCCATTTTATTTTATAATTAGACAGCCTAAGACTAATATAGCTGCAGCTGAACTTAGCCTGCTAAAATCCTGTGTCCTCATATGAGGACTTTAGGTTTTGGGCTCCCGCACTGTATACTTCATTCTGCTTAACAACTTAGACCTATTGTCCTCATTAGTGGGCAGTTGCCTGTGCCCTCTAGGGTCACTGTTTGCACAGCCTTGTGATGTCTGTTTCTACTTTGTTACACATACTCATTATTTTTCATAAAGTACTTCCTGTTCAAAGACAATGCTTAGGTATTTATACTTAAAATGAAAATGCACACAGAATCAAAGCTCAGGTCTTGGGAGGTTAGGGAAACATTTTTGCATGAAAATGTGGATTTGTCCTTAATTTCTTACAATTTGGCCATGCCTATGAAGGGAATGCTTAGTAGAGATGAGGAATGCCAACAGCCAACAATAAATATTTCACTCTACACCTCACTTTTTAGCATTGAGATAGACTACATTGCTGGAAGAGACACTAAAGTTAGTTTCCCATAGTGCCTTTCATGTTACTTGTTAGGGTTTTGCCCATAGACGATGCTATCATCCACTGACGAAGGCTTACAGACATAATGGCAAGGCAAGGCAAGGCAAGGCAAGGTGCTTTACATAAAACATAAAAACAACAAAGGGATATTGAAAAAATAAAACACATTATAAGGAAAAGGATAGGATGTTTTACTCTGTTTTTCATAGGGATAAAAAACAGGGTAAAACAGGACAGTAAAAGTTACAGTGCAGTGTACAATCAGGGCACTGAAAATCTAAAAACAAAGAAAATGAAAACCGGACATTACAGTGCAGTGAAAGGTACCAATCTATGGCTTTAATAAAAAGCGGTGGTAAAAAGAAAAGTCATTGTTGGGCAGTAGCGTCGCTACAAGTAGCACCATTACTGGTTTAACTACATTTCTCAGTAGTTTGGTGGTAGCGTTGCTATTTTCTGAATCAAATAGCTTTTCGATAACGAAGCTCTTTTTTTGACCGAGTAGAGATTCGACACACGCTACATTTTCCCAAGCATTTCTGAGGGATCGGTAAGTGACTCCACCGCCACACACAGACCTGTATGTGCATCACGTACTGATCCTTGGGCTGATGTCTGCAGCAGGGGAATAAAGATACGTGTGATTATTGTAACACCTCTTGTGAGAAGGATCAGGGTCCAGCCTGGACAACTCTTCCTCTAGTGAGGAGGAAACTTCGATATGTAGTGACAGAAACTTGTTTCCATGAGATAAGATCTCTCTCTTTCTCTCTCTCTCTCGCCCATTACCATGAATGTTTAGGTTGTTTAGGTTGCAATGTTGCCAGAGCACAAATTCACATATAAACAATAAAAAATATAATTAATTAATAGTGTGATAATTAAGTTACTTTATACAAACAACAATGGTTCTCCGTTTGTTGCATGTGGAAATAAATCACTAAGTAGGAGAGTTTCTGTGTGTCTGATTTAGCGCTCTCTGGCACGCACACTGTTTGGAGCAGGTTTTTAGTCTTTCTTCTATTGCTACTGTGGAATGAAGTTAGTTCAATATACACTAGGCCTATACTGTGTGTGTGAGTGTGTATGTGTGTGTATATATATATATATATATATATATATATATATATATATATATAAATAAGCTACTTTTGCCATGTTGCTGTAGCTTAGCTTGCTACATTTCACTGTGGGGTAGCTTCCATGTAGGGAAGCTTCATTTAATGTAGAGTAGCTAGTAGCTTAGCTCACTACATTTTCCAAGTAGCTTGCCCAACACTGCCTGCAGTTATCTGGGACTTTGTTCCAGATATACGGAGCATAATAACTAAACGCTGCTTCTCCATGTTTAGTTTTGACTCTGGGGACAGAAAGCAGACCTGTCCCAGATGACCTGAGAGGTCTGGATAGTTCCTAACGAAGCAGAAGATCAGAAATGTATTTTGGCCCTAAACTAAATAAATAAATTAACAGCAAGATTTTAAAATCAATTCTCTGACATACAGGAAGCCAATGTAAAGACTGATGTGATGTGATCCACTTTTCTGGTCTTAGTGAGGACTCGAGCAGAAGCGTTCTGAATCAGCTGCAGCTGTCTAATGGATTTCGTAGGGAGCCCCGTAGAGACACCGTTACAGTAGTCGAGTCAAAGATAAATGTATGGATATGTTTTTCCATGTCCTGCTGAGACATAAGTCCTCTAATCCTTGATATATTCTTCAAGTGATAGTGGTCTGATTTTGTAATTGTCTTAATGTGGCTCCTTAGATTTAGGTCTGAATCCATGGCAACACCAAGATTTCTGGCTTGGTCTGTGGTTCTTATCATTACCGATTAAAGCTGAGCACTGACTTCGAATCGTTCCTCCCTGGCTCCAAACACAATAACTTCAGTTTTATCTTTGTTCAGTAGAAGAAAATTCTGGCACATCCTTGACCTGCTCAATACAGTCACTCAGTGCCTGTATGGGATCATAGTCCCCTGGTGAAATGGTTATGTAAATCTGTGTGTCATCTGCATAATTATGGTAACATATTTTGTTGTTTTTCATAATCCAAGCCAGTGGAAGCATGTAAATGTTAAACAAAAGAGGCCCCAGAAAGGAGCCTTGGGGAACTCCACATGTCATTTTTCTTAGCTCAGACGTGTAATTATCTATAGACACAAAGTAGTCCCTGTCTTTTAAGTAGGATTCAAACCAGTTTAGTACTGTGCCAGAAAGTCCAACCCAGTTTTCAAGTCTGTCGAGTAATATGTTGTGGTCGACTGTGTCGAATGCCGCACTGAGATCCAATAATACTAAGACTGCCACAGTCAGTGTTTAAATGGATGTCATTGAAGACCTTAACGAGAGCCGTCTCAGTGCTGTGGTGTGGTCGAAAACCTGATTGGAAGACATCAAAACAGTTATTTAGTGCACTAAGCTGTTGAAAAACAGCTTTTTCAATGATTTTACTTAAAAATGGGGATTTGATATGGGCCTGTAACTGTTCATTAGTGACCTATCTAGATTGCTCTTTTTCAGAGTGGCTTAACAATGCAGTTTTCAGGGCCTGTGGGAAAAAACCTGAGAGGAGAGACATGTTGACAATGCATCGTGATTGTAAAACCCCCCCCCGGCAAGAAAAAACTACATTTTTCACATTAAACCACCATGTAAAAGCAGGTTTTAATCACCACAAACATTATTATTATAAATTTTAAATATTCTTTGCACCTTCCTTGAAATTGTCTTCACCCCACACTCAGACACACAGCTGCCTACACTGGAGCTACTCAATGTGGCTCCGGTAGACTCTGGTCAGCAGATCCTTTGTTTTCAGTTATGGGTTTAAAACAGAAAAAACAAAACAGTTGTCTGTTTAGCTTATGTTTTGTTCTATGGTGCTGCTGTGTTGTTAACAGAGGAGCTCCACTCCGCACCCTCTGGTGGGCAAACTATGCAACACTCATGACATGAGGGAAGGATCCGACTCTGTTTCTCTTTTTAATAGTAATATCAGCTGTTCTTAATGCTGATGCAGATATATCTGCAAGTAGCTTATATCGGCCAATAATATCTACAAAATGATAAATCGGTCGGGCTCTAGTTGATATTGACATTTCTGTGAGTACACTGAGTACTTACATTGCAGGTTTTGAAGAAGTCAGTCATCCTCTAGCGGGTTCACTGGAAGGGCATGGAGGGTCGGATGACGTCTCATGCGTACATCATGTTGGTCCTAGATTGACAATCAAAATAATTATTATTATACAAATATTTTTACAGCACATCAAGCCATATAGTGTAATGTAATGTACTTCAAAATAATAATATTAATAGCAATAACAATGAATCCATCCAGCTGCAACTACTTAAAGACAAGTCAAATTTAAACAAACACAGTTCAGTTTCTCTCTTGCCGTATCACACAGCTACAGACACGTACAGGCTGCTACTGTCCGCTTTCGACTTTCATTGTCAGCCGTATGTTTTACTGCCCATAAAACACAGCTTGTGTTTTAAACTTTTTTACCCACAATTCTGTGTTAACAAATGCAGGTGAGATGCGTGTAGAGAAGGCCTAGAGTACATGTCACTGTCAGTAGACCGTATGGCGACCAATTATGGATAGTTGGTCTCTTGGATGGATAGAAAAATAAAAAGTCATGCTCAGCCCATAAAATCTGAGTGAAATTGATTTTCTGATTCTGATTTTCTGTCTTAAGCTTATGCAAATGACAAATGAAAGTAGATGGATCTATCCTCCTAGTCATCACAAGACAATAACATAATCAAATTTCACTATTATAGTACAGAGGTCCCAATCTGTATTGGCTGCACATTATGTTATCAACATTGTCGCTATGGCAAAGATAATCTTAAACTCACCTGGAGGTCATAAATCCTGAGGATCTCTGCAGGGCCTCTGCTCTCTTGGCCTTCTGCCTGTACAGAGCAATCAGTTGTGGTGTGTATCTCTCAAGCTCGCAGTAGAATTGGTTGCATAGGTTCAACATTTGTAAAGCAATGGAACTCAGCAAACACATAAATGTATGTAGATTAATGGTTTTCAACTTTGGCCTTAACAGGAAAACATAATGCATCAATAACTTGTTTTAAGCAGGATGGTTGGCTATATGGCAAAAAAGAAATGGACATGGACCACTTGTCACACTCTGCCTCTTGAGTTTGGTCAGTTGATTATCTGTTATTTTGGTCTGTTGTGTATTGGGGTTCTGTCTCGTCTATCGTCTAGTGTTCAGTAACCTGTGTCATGTCTGTTCCCCCAGTTATCACTCTGCATGCCTGTGTCTCGTTAGCCTCATGTCCCTCACCTGTGTACCTCTTCCCAGCTCGTTATCCCTGTGTATATATCCTTGCTTGTTTCCCTTAGTCTTTGTCCCGTCATTGGCGCGTGTATATGTTCTGTCTCATGTTGTCGTGTTTAGTAGTGATGGGCAATGCGAGGCTTTGTGAAACATTGAAACGTTTGAAGCAATTGTGCTGAAATTGTGTCAAGACTTCGAAACACTTCAACACCCGTCTCCACGGTGACACCTACTGGTCCCTTTTGATATCGACACATCTTGGTAGGGGTTTCATTGAAACAATAACTGACCAGCGTTTACAATTCTAAACGTCTTATCAGTACATGACCAACAGCATTTCGGAGAAATCATCATACAACAAACACACATGCGCTTTCAGATTGTCAGAGACAGCAGATGGGGATTGCAATAAAAGTGTGTGAAATATCTGTGTGTCATTTAGCTGACGCTTTTCTCAAAAGCCAATCACAATTGCTACGTCAGAGGGTGCACTTTTGGAGCAACTAGAGATTAAGTGTCTTACTCAGCAACACATCACAGTGGGAATCGAACCCACGTCTCTCACACTAAAGGCATATGTTTTAACCACTACCCTATCCATTTTCAGAACACTTTATTGATCTATGAGGGTGAATTCTTTGCAGATATTTGCAAGGCATAAAAGGAATAGAAATACTAGGTAGTTGAAGTTAGTGAGTAGAGAAATTCAGCTGTTTTGGGGCTGAGTTGTTTTTTTTTTCATAATTGACATCCCCATCCTTGGAAAAGTTTGGTCACATGGAACATTTGTTGCTGGCAAAGATAAGTATTTTTTGCCATCATAGGCCTACAGGTGCGGATATACTCTATATTTCAGTAATTAATTTAGTTACCGTGAGGGCGGAAGAAACCTTTACTTTGCTTTAAACTATAAAGCAGCCTAGGACTGTAAAACCAAACCAAATGTCTGTATAATCTTAACTCTTATCTTTCAGATCTATGCAGTATAAAAAACATCACGTCAACATCCTCAAATAATTCAACAGAAATATGCCATTGGAAAGCTGTAGTGTCACTCAATACTCTGTTTGATTCTGTAAAAGCAAATATAACGAACAACATAAGGAATTCCCATTAGTCCAGTCGTCAACAACAAAGTCATCAATGCTGATATTTTCTAATTTATCTGACTCACCAATATCATAACTGCTTTTGTGAGTCAGGTGATTATGGGCAAGATTAAATTCCTTCAGCAGCACTCTATAGCCCCTTTTCCACTGCACAGTACCAGCTCGACTCGGCTCGACTAGTGTTGTCGTTCAATGAACGTGTCGTTCATAAAGCTGATGATACACTGGGCAACTTTTTGAGCAATGTTGCTGGGCAATCTTGCTAGTGGCAAGTCCGACTATGTTTTGAACGGATAGCGGCGGTGCGGGGCGGGTGGTGGAGTGGTGGTGGGGGAAGGGGATTACGGTAGTAATCTTTACTCATTACCATTGACGGCAACGTTGCCCTGCACGATTGCTCTAAAAGTTGCTCTGTGTATCATCAGTTTAAGACCTAATCGTGTGTATGACTCGGGAGGAACGGGTAGTCTCAGTGAGTAATTCGTTCATTTTCACGCATGCGTGAAGGATCTTGGCCTCTTACGTTCACTCGTCACACGGCAGCTGCATGGGCTCCGTCAACACAGGAAACAGAACTGATTAGTTCAGGACTCTCAACTGTGGGTCTGTTTGTGTCGTTCATTTGTCACGTGACAGCTGGGCTAGAGGGCTGTGGTAAGCAGGCAGCACAGGAAGCAGAATTGATTAGTTCACGAATCATAGCAACTGTGGGTCTGTAGGTTTGAGTCGTTCATTTGTCACGTGACAGCTACTGTGGAGCAGGAATGAACAACTCGTTCACCGCTCACATGGATCCTCCTCAGTCTTTTGTTCAGTCAGGCTGACTAACTGCCAGCGCCGGAGAATGAGAGGCAGGTCGGCTGTCAGGTAACAGTTAGTGGACTGACATTATATAGCTATTTTGTTAATTACATGACATTTAATGAAACATAACATTATTACAGCGCAGTGATGTTGTGCTAAGTTACAGTATAGTTTTAACACAGCCGTACCGTAAGTCCTGCTAGTGTTTACAGCTAAAAGCTGATGAGAGTTGTTCCGAATTACCTCCGAGGTCGTCTCCTCTCCAAAACAAACCGACCTGGTCATTTAAAACATTAAAACACAGCCACATAGCATAGTTAACGTTAGCCCTGTAAACAGCTAACAGCTGATCCAGGTCCGCCAGAGAACGCAACGTAACTTTTCCTTTTTATTTATCAACAGAGCCGTGCTGTTGTTTCACAGCTCCTGATTGGTGAACAACCTGGCCGTGTTTGAGAGCGATGTGCCTTATGTTTGTTTCTCTGTCTGCAGAATTCGGACCTGATGTGGCCCATTCTGCGTCCAGACCTGCCAAACTGCTGCATTTATATAATGTGTGAATATTTCTTTGTTCCTCTCTCTGTGCTGGAGTTCTTTTAAGAACTTGGTGGCTTGATCCAGATTATTATTAAATTGGTTGAATTTTAATAAGAGTGTGTTTATTGATAGTGTATCAAGCTTATTACTTCTATATACGCAAATCTGACATTAATATTTTACTCATGGATAGGGACGTTAGGCTACTGTATGAATGAGCACTTTAGAGATAATGATAGTAATTATATACATAAGCCTTTATATGGCTGGTCTGGTTGTATATTCAGGAAAGATTTAGCCGGAGTAGTGGATTGCATATAGACAACATATTTCTGTGGTTTTTATATAATTATTATTATTATTATATAAATAATTATTTATAGAGCACTTTTCAAAAACACTTACAAAGTGCTTTCACAACAATAAAACACATAAAAACAATTACATGCTAAAACAAGAAAACACTAAATAAAATATAAAAATATAAAAAAATAAATACACATTTAAAATAAATATAAAAATAAATACAATAAAAATAGAATCAAATAAAATCGGGAAAGGCTCCCTTATAAAAGTTTTAAGAAGGAACTTAAACCCAGATAGCACACGTAGCCTACGTCTTGCAGATGTCGGCCCGATGTTTAAAGTTGCATCACCAAGACGTTGTATGCAGAGCTTTTGCTAATTGGCAAAACGTCGCCAAGACATCGGCATTTCGTCGAAAATGCCCTCCACAGGATGTGTAGACGATGATCAAAGACGCACTGCCCAGTCGCTCCTCCGCCTCTTCTATGACCTTTATTGATTTAGGTCAGATCATTCTGACAATTACATCACTATCCATGAGACACATTTATATAATTATTACAATTGTATGTGAATATAAAGAAAAACTATAAGCTTTACCAGTAAAAATAGCTATTTCGTGTGTGAATACACTGGGTGGCTAGTTGAGGTGAGAAGACCTTCCTGCACACTTTACAGAGTTTACCCCTGTTATGGACAGCTTTGCGGTCTGTGATAAGAATAGAGCACTAAAGCGTTAATACAGACAATCCAACACATCTTTTTTTATATATATATATGTATATATATATATGTGTATATATATTATATATATATATATATATATATATTATATATATATATATACACACACATATATATATATATTATATATATACACACACATATATATATATATATATATATACACACATATACACATATATATATATATATATATATACACACATATACATATATATATATATACATATATATATATATATACACACATATACACATATATATATATACACACATATACATATATATATATACACATATATATATATATATATATACACATATATATATATATATATATATACACATATATATATATATATACACACATATATATATATATACACATATATACACACATATATATATATATACACACATATATATATATATATACACACATATATATATATATACACAATATATATATATATATACACACATATATATATATATATATACACACATATATATATATATATAAACACATATATATATACACACATATATATATATATACACATATACACACATACACACACACACACACACACACACACACACACACACACAGTGTTTCTTCTATATGCATTCAGCAGCGGCGCACCACGACCGCCACTACTAAAATTTCCCACGAACTATGCACTACAAATGTTTTCACTCGCATTCTATGCGAGCACGGAAGCACTCAATGCTCAGCTCACTTCTTCTCCTCGTTCTATGCAGAACATACGCGACAGATGGTGCGTAGCGAGTGTTTGATTGTCCGAGCGGCAGAAAGTGATGGTGAACACGAGCGCAGGAAAATATTCTGGCAGTAAATGTACGGTGTCTGTTACGCTGTGTTAGCTTCTCAAGACCAAGAAAAGTCTGTTGTTTCCACCTGCTGGAAAAGTGAAGACGGTTAGCGCTAAGTTAGCTAACATCTCCCCTTCAGACTGCGCAGCTGAGCAGGAAAGCTTCTACAGCAGCTACATAGCTGCTATGTAACTTATAGCTCAATTTATAGAAAGTAACTGGAAGCTGTATTTTATTACTGCCTACTTGTCCAATGTTGAGAACATCAGGTACAACCTGACATAGCCTGCAGCTCTGTCCTGTACAAACTGATTCAATTATTTTTCAGGTTTCAGTCTGAAAAAGAGGTTTAGGAAAAGAAAGGACAGAGGTGACTGGAGGAGCTGAGGTTAGTAAAGCTCATTAGTGATGCAAACTAGTCCTTTTAAGCTGATGAGGAGATGTTTCTTTTTGGATTTTAATGTACAAATAAAATGCACCTCAGAAGGGAGGTGGTTTCTCATGCTGCCTATTTTTATATTAATGTCTACAGATAAATGTCAGAAGCTGTAAAATGAAGACACAAAAGGCAAACATGAACAGTCATATCTATAATGATTCTGAGGTCATATTAACAGGGTTTGCTGTTTGCCCTGCCCCCGCTGCTGAAAAAAATCCTAGAACACACACACACA